GCAATATCAAGTCCTGGTATTGTTGCGAATGCGGAGCACTTTTTGATGACGATACAGAGCTGGGATATAACAATATCTTCTAATTAAAGTATGGCATAGTAGTCACCAATCGATATGGGTTCTTACATATTCGGTATATTCTGTTATAAATCATCCCCTGACAAAAATAACGTCGGCCGCCGCTGGTCGTCGTAAATGGATTGTGACTTGGCCACGGTTGCGCTCAACTCGGCTTGCACTTCGCTATTGCTCAAGATGTCGCGTTTTTTCGAGAGACTTTCAGCAACTTCGCTATCGGCTTCGAAATACTTCCATCACCGTATATAAACACTACCAATACGCAAATCAAAAAGTTTAGTTGAAAGTGCGATGCGAAGAGTTCTAATAAGGTGACAGACATTTGAGTATTAATCCCAAGTTTCAGTTAAAGTGTTGTGTATATTGTGTGTTGTATTGTCAGTGTAGCAATGAAATATAGTTGAATAAAATTGTACAGTATAGTCAATTATTGCCAAACCCACGTATCAGCGCGTTTCAGAACATTGTGTGATGTGGAATCCTCAACATTTTTGGATATACACTATGAGCATCCTGGCGAAGATTTTCCATCAAACACTTCGGTTTGTACGAAGACAGTGTGGTGGTTTTAGTCAACTGTTTGGTTTACTACAGGTTTCTCTTCTAAGATGGAGCCTCAGGAGACACCTAGACCCAGTGTTGAATAAAATTCACATCGATAATCATTTAGTTTCACAGCGAATATTTGCTATTTCATAAAGACAATTATTTATGAAAAAGTGATAATTTAAGTAGGAAAAAAATAATACATTAAGCACCTACTTAGTGATGGTACAATGTAGGCATTAAATAATGGCACCCTTGTGTAATAGGTATCTCATCTTCAGTGGTGTTAGTAGAATTGAGAATTATCTTCCGTTTGATCTTAGTTTCAAGTTACATAATTCACTTACAACACAATTCCTTGTCTCTCATTTCCTTTTTCTAAGGCCTTGACTAACCTCTCGGGTAATGAAGTTGCCACTGAATTTGCTATTCCATAAGACCTTATCATAATTTATTGGGATTGTGCGATCTGATGAGATATTTTCATTCGATATCGATATAGGAAAATTGAAATCCCAGTGAATTTAACATCCTGCTGACCCTGTTCTAGAAGTCTCTAGAGAATCATGCTTCATTTTCAAAGCCTTTAGGCGGATGAACTATAAACCGCTCACGGCTACTAACGACGGGAAAGTAATTATCTCGGAATTCTTCCAGGCATGCAAGATTTCAATTATCTCTCGAGTAACGACTTCGAATTAACTCTGGAACTGGGTTGCGATAAGTACCCTTCGGCGGATGTTCTGGAAAACGAATGGGAAAGGAACAAAGATGCCATCATAAATTATATCTGGCAGGTAAGCAAAAAAACGTTTGAAGACTATTTCGACATTATTGAAACTGTATTTGAATGCACTCCAAAAGGTCTTGGTTGCCTTCTCCGTAAATATTGTATAATAATAATTTTGAACAGAGTTTTTACACCAGAAGAGACGATTGAATTGATCCAGAATGGAGTAATTCAAATTTATTAAAATTCCATGGAAAATTTTAATATATATATTCTTTCTGGTTATAAGTGTAAGTGGTGAGAAATATAAATCTGAATATATGTATAATTCACTGATATAGGATATATTTGATAAAAGATAAAAAAATTCTTACCACTTTCTCCTTGAAACTTTTCCAGAGATATATTTTGGTGTACATAAGAACGATATACAGGATGTCATATGTCCGGGACCAAATATAACAAAATTTCAGTATAAACCTACTTATATATTTTTGTTCACTTTTCGATTGTTGCAAAATTAAAAAACATGTTAGGATACAATTTCAATTGGGAACACGAAACTTTTTGGAGTTTCTGCTTCCCACCAACCAAATTCTTTATACATACAGTAAACTCCCGATCCAAGTTACACGTTCCCATCCATATTTTTATAAATTTGTGCATTTGGAAAATAAATACATTTCCAGTATTTTTGGTTCACATGGAAATGAAATAGCCACAAGAAATCCCTAGTCTGTATTTAAGATACTTCGACGACATTCTCATCGTATGTAACCATGAAGAGGTAGAACTTGACGTCTTGCTGTAACACCTCAACTACGTGTACATTCTTTCATAATATTATTAATGAAGAAGAAATCCCGAACTGAATCGTCGTTTTTAGATATGATGGTGAAGAGGACCGACCCAAAATGGAAACATCTGTCTACAGAAAATCATCACCACCCCTACCACCAATCAACCAAGAGAGGAATCTTTAAGACCCCAATTGATGATGCATTCAGTCACAGAAACCTGAAGGAAAGTTTAGACAATGATCTGGACGACTCAGGAAGGATCTTCAACGGAATCGATACTCCAAAAACTAATAGGACAGTGGCTAGATGACAAGAGCACTACAAGGGAGAGAAGCCATTACAACCCAATCCTATTCCTTTCTTAGGCCAGAGGACTGAATAAAATGATCAGAAAAATTGGGTCTGAGTACATTTCAGAAATTGCTTTATATCTCGTCACACTTCCTTTATCAGCCACAAAAACACCGACGATAAGACTTCTGCCAGTCCTATATTGGAAAAACCAAGAGAATGTTGGGATAATATCATGTGGTCCAAAGCGGAAATCATTCATAGAAACGCTGAATCAAAAAGAAGTTTAAAAAACTTATATATTGAATGAAGACGCATTTAAAAATGCTAGTGCTAAGTATGAAAACTTTTAGTCATTTGGGAAAACGCGATATAATGCATTGAATCGATACATTTTCAAATAGTTTGGTTCGAAATTTTTGTCTAACATCTGTTGATTTTTCGCCATCGTTTCTCTTTATATTCTTCACAAATTAACGTTCTCCTAGTTTTATGGAAAGATCAATTTTTATCCTACTTCCTGTTTCAGTGGAAATGGTCATATACCTATGATTTTGGTAAATAATGTTACATTTAATTTTCACCAAACCATTAACAGATGTTTCTGCATCTCTCAGTAAATATTTATTTTGTGTCATGGTATATACTGTTCGATAGAGAATTTGGTACTCTATACATTGATACTATTAATTTTGTTGTAAGGTGCAGCGATATCACTGTCGTTGCGCGGCTTCCTCAACCTTCTTGGGGTTCCCTCCATGGAGGTACACAAGTGAGGGAGCTTTCCTGCAGGGGCAGACGGTTCCTTGCCTTTATTCAAGACGGTGCTCTTGGCGCCCGCCGCAGGAAGTGCCCTTGATGTTGGAGATGATCTGCTATGTCCAGTCTCATTCCAAGCGGTAGATTGGGGTGGACATTTCTGTTCATCCCCAGCCACCGCCTTAGATTGAGGTGAGCACTTCTGTCCAGCCTCCGGATTGGTTTTTGTTGTTTCTGTTTTTGTGTTGTTTCATTCATGTTTGTTCCCACGAGTAGCAAGGGAAGAGTTAGTCATATCTGGCAGAGATGACTAACTCCGCATTACCAGAGGTAGGCTGATTACAATGAGGTTTTGCCCAGTTCCCCAAGGGGATCGTTCGTGACCGCATATCACCCTGCGGCCATTCAGCTGTCGGTACGATTCCTTACACCTTAGCTTGGGTAGGCTGGTCCACGGTGGCATGTTTCGCAAAGGCTTTTGGGGGGTTTCAGTTCCCCTCACCCTACTTATTTCTGCCACTGACCAGGAGTTCGACGACCCCATCCGTAAGACCATATTGGTTCCCGGACAGGGCCTCCAGTCCCCTGTCCTTTCCCCTATCCGCCACCTGGGGACGCGCCCGATAGGTAGCCCAACCCACGGGTCGAAAAGAGGATGCCGTACGATTTGAACGATATACATAAATTATTACGATTCGAGGTCTATTCTTTGTTCTTGCGCAACCAAACCGATCTTTTTTTTTTGATCGGATCGTCACGTATGATGAAAAGTGGGTCCTCTACGACAACAGGAGATGTTCAGGACAGTGGTTGGATACCAATGAGCCACCCAGGCACTTCCTAAAAGAAAAACCCACGAAAAAAAGACCATGGTTACCGTATGGTGGTCAGCGGCTGGTGTGGTTCACTATAAATTTCTGCAACCGGACTGAACCAACACAGCAGAGTCATATCGTGAGGAAATCAACTAAATGTACTGTACCGAAAATTGAGCCAGTAGAGCTCCGGTCCTGCTCCACGACAACGCCCGTACGCAAGTTCCACAAATCACTTCTCGCCAACCGACTACCATCTTTTCAAGCACTTCTATAATTTTCTTATGGTTAGAACCTTCGCCAATCAGGAATAGGCAAAAATGGCCTTCGTCGACTTCATCAAATCAATCCCGTGCACACAATTTTTATGCTGACGGTATCAAACGACTTGTGTTACGTTGGCAAAAGTGCACTGAATAAGTATTCACTGGATATCACAGTTTAAAGTAGACTCATAAAAACGGACAAAACTTTGGAACATAAAATATAATTTGAATAACCCTCTCTAAAAAACATTTTGGATTCAATAATGAATCAGATTTCAAATGCATAAAAATGATGGCTGAAGATTATTTGAAGGTGAATGTGTTGAAGTGAATGTGTTCAACTACACTGCTAGAAAAATATTTGTGAACATTAACACTGCAAACATGAAATTACATCGACTCAATATACTTTCCATTTATTGTAAGTAATTTGAAGAAAAAAATTAACCCTACTTCCTCATTGACTAACTTGATTTTCGTTCATGTACAATTATCAGTTTATTACATAGAATAGCATAGGTATATTGTATATTAAGGGATATTAAGAATGTTTACGTTCTAGAGTCATATCGGTATCAAAGGAGTGGTATATGATAACATGTCGAAGCAAGGTATACCCAACGCAGTAATCCACGTTAAAAATGTAACAAATGGACGAACGGATGATATTCAACATGACATCACATCAGGTAATATCAAATACAAAATTTTCAATAATTCAATAAAAGGTAATATTTTGTATGAGGTTACCTTAACAATAATGCTACAATGAGAAATCGTAGACGCCTAGTTTGAAATAGTTTGAAATTCAATTGAATTCAATTTTCAGTTCATGATGGAGATTATTTTAGACTTTTAACTCCTGGAAGCTATAAAGTAACTGCATACCGAGAAGGTTACCTGCCACATACAAAACTTGTAACCGTTACAACTAAACCTCATACTACTGCACAACGAGTTGATTTTCCTTTGAAACCTATTAGAGTAAGTATTACATCCATATCTGTTTAAATAAGTTTTTCTGTTAACCAAATATTCCAGTAAATATCAAGAAATTTTTGTCTTCACAGCAATTAACTGAACAGTAAATGTTTTTAACTATTAGGGTCAGTGTACTGGTTCTAGGCCTTTTAGTGAAAAAAACGACTTTGTTTTAAAATTATGTACAGTAAACGGCTTTAAATTGAAATTTGCTTCGAATGAAAAATATTGAGTCATGTGTTGTTAATAACCCCCGAAATGTTTTTTTTGTTACTTCAAACTTTTCGGCAAAGAAACCTGAAAAACTGAAAAAAAATACTTTTTTTCTGGTTCTCAGCCACCCCTCACAATTCTCGGCCATTTTTAAATCGGTTCTCGGCCATCCAAAAATCTGTCTCAATAAGTAGGTATACCTACCTTTAATTCTTTATAATTATATTCGTTAAAGTTACCTACAGAATGTTTATGAGATCACCCAAAAATTAATTATACAACTAGACATATAAAAATATATTTATAATTCTTATTTTCAAATATTGAAATATATTACTATCTAAACTTAAATCCTTATTCCTCATAGTTATTTCAATGTTAAATTTCGCACATATCGCACTTGTAATTTTCCTTCTGCATTCAACATAATGAGAACTGTTATGTTTTCTTTTTCATTTCCTTGTCTAACGGTAGTTCATATTAAAATTCATTTTTGGATAAGTTATATGAAAAAAAAACTTTTTTAAACCCTTCAGAATAATCTCCAATATATTACATGCATTTTAAATGAAAAAGTCATAAAATACTTACTAATTCGTCGATTGATTCCACTTAATACATTCCTAATTCAGACACACGTGTTATCTGTTTCTCAGACATACAAGAACTCAACATTTTTTCGCGCGACTTTCGCTAATGATGTCATCTCAACTCTTACCGCATTGGATAAACATAAGATGCCGAGAACTAGTTTAACTGTGGTAATAAGCCAGGATAACTCATTTCTTTTGATATTTCGCTTTAAACGATTAAAAGGCCGAGAACTAGTGCTGGCCGGATAACCAGAACACTTACCCTATATCTGTAACTCCATTGACTAGGTAAAATTTGAAATATTCTATTATTTGAATTCCGTTTCTTTTGCGTTAAACTACCTTGACGATATTTATTATGTTTACTGAATCTGAAAATTACCACACTGAACTGAAGAAATGTGGGGATTGATGTGAACACCAACAAAATTTTTTAATATTGTTTTCTAAGGGTTTGAATTGTTATGAATAAATTGTTGGTCTATAATGAAATCGAGGGTATTCTGAGTGGCCAAAAAAATTAAAACAAATTTTACTGAAGTTATTTTGATTACTTAAAATGAAACTGGTATTTGCAATCTCAATAATCAACCCTGAATTACTGTTACTGAGTACATGAAATTTATAGTTTGAGTACTGAAATTACTAAGTTTATGGAAAGAGTTCAAGTATTCGAAACTCTAGGCATACAAATCTTTCTTCACGAAAATGGCAATTATATTCAGTATCCAAACATGATGAAAAGAAGACAACTTGACTTTCAGATACGTTATTGATACTATTTTTTTCAACAAAATATATCTAAATCACCTGAATGTTGCGCCACTTTATGATAAAATATGAACTACATACAGTACTCAATACCTGAATACTCAAGTATATGGAGTATTACTACTGGTACAGCTTTGCAAGTACAGGACTTTTTGTAGTGTGTAGCAAAATCTAAACCAATAAATTTTCATGAGATCTACTATTATTTAATTGATGTGACCAAAACTTATATCAAGATTATATTTGTATACTTTCAAGTTTTTGTTTGAATTCATGAAGAAAAAAAACGTTTTTTTCTTTGATATTGATATGATAATCCACCAGTTATTTTGTATGAAAATCGAATAAATTACTGATTAAATGACATGTGACAGTGTTTATATGATATTGGAAATGTGACCTATGAATATGCTCAGTTTTCAAATAAGTACATTTCATACTAGGTATAATTTACACTTATCAGAGCACTTAGTGAGTCCATATTTTCAACTGCAAAAACCGTCCTTCGCGAGGCAAGTAGATAGTTTTCATCCACATTATATTCCAAGATGGACATTTAAAATTATTTTATATTTAATGGTTATGTAATATTGCAGATTCCACCCTATATCCGTATTCAGGCCGAAAACTACATAAATTCGAAGATAGAAGATGAATTCGAAAATAGTCAGCAGCAATGGTCCAACTGGGTAGAGGAAAATGAACCCATACTTGAGCCAATAGCAGTACAATGAAAACCTTGGAAATGTGATGACATTAAATAACTTCCATCATTCCAATAACTAATATTTTCTTTGTCTCTCTTCTTCGTGAAAGCGCACAGTTTGTAGGCAGATCTTCTCAATATTTTCTAGCTGTACAATATAAACATTACATTTGAGTTCACTAGGTTGTTTCATGTATCAAACTGAAAAGACGTCAACAGAATAAAAACTTTTTTGAGCATGTGTTTTATTCCATCTTTGAATCAAATCAATGAAAATGATACTAATATAAACAATTTGCTGCCTGTGACTTTGTCTGGATGGAATTGGGTCCACAGAGAAATTAAAAGTGCCTGAGTAATAAAAAAAATAATATAGGAATGTAGGCTTTCACGGTTGGCGTCAATGTTTAAGATGGTTTCCGGGTTTTGCCATGGTCTTCTTTGGTTATAATCATCTTCATAGAAATACAATCACCAAGAAAACTTCAACAGAAAGGAAGAGAGAATATATCTACCAAAGATCTGGCACACAGCATTGAAAAGCGCCAAAACGAAGCCAAAGTCAACCAAATCGCGCGGGAAGTACGCGACCACGCCACTTAAGATGACTACCGCAGTAGCCATCAAAACGTTTGGAGATTATAACTAAAGAAGACCACAGCAAAACTTGGAAGCCATCCAAAACAATACAAAAATAATATTTCAAATCGCTTGTGTGGTAATAGAGAAAATTGGCTTTGTTTGTGATTGAGTGATTAGGTATTTGATATGATAGGATTGAAAAATTTATATTTTTTATGCATATACATTACGTAGTGTGGAAATGTATTCAAGATTATAACCGAAGTAGGCTCAAACTTAGTTATTTCAAATCGAACATCCTAAATTCCATTACAAATGTAGATTCTATATATTATGGAATTCTCGATCTATTTTATTTCACACACTTAATACCTACCTTGCATTGTTTCAAAAAAAATTGAATTTGCAGGATTTTTCATTCAAATATATTTCTCTTTTTTTCTGCTATGGACAACTAATGGTTCAAATTTATTAATTTTGTATAGGAGGTGAAGAGATTATAGAAAAATTATTGTTTTAATATTTCAATTCTGCTGTTAGGACAAATCCACTAAATTGAATATTGGTTGGACTGTGGAAAAAATCTTATGAGCTTTAGAATGTTTAATCGTATTAAAATCCATTCAATGTTTATTTTTAATGGGCAATGAAAAAAGTTTTGACAAGATCATATGATGTATTTGCCGTACAATATTCACACCAACAAAAACCATTACTGAACACTGTAAAAAAAGTTCAAAGCTACAAAAATCATGGTTCCATGAAAGCAAGAATTCAAATAAGAAATATATTCAAGTAAAACTTTATTGTGAGATTTTTACTAAACAGTTTCACAAAAACGCAACATGAGTTTCATTATACCATGGTTTTTTACACGTCTGAAGAAGCTTGTGTATAGCGAAACACGTGTTGCGTTTTTGTAAAACTTCATGAAAATCTCACAATGAAGTGGTTTTCAAATACGTTATGTATTTTCATCAAGTATCGGCTGATTTCATAACATACCAAATAAGAAAGCCGATTGAAACGTTACATGGTTGACGGATTGTAAATAACCATGATACTCCTTAGAAGGCTCGGGGAGTTACTAGCATTACCTACTCAGAACACAAGACCAGGGCCGTAGCAAAAAGAAAAACCAGGGGGGGAGGGAATCCAAATTTTCCCAACCCCACCAGCAAAACATCNGTATCTCACGAACATGCAAAATATATTAAAAGTGTGCAATATGAAATAGATCTAGAATATGTACAATTTAAATCTGCAATAAAATATTGAGTATTTCAATTAAAATAACGAAGTTCAAACCCGTTTCAGAAGTGTTGTAAACATAAAACAATTTTAAAAATACACTTATATTAATATTATTAGTTTACATATTTTATGTACAATGGGTAGCCGGTGACATTTGGGACAGTTTTACATACTGCAATCTTCGGTTCCATTCTAGGTCTTGATTTCTCTCGCCAAAGAAGATTTTACCGGTCATGTTCTGTACTTGAAACTCCAATGTATTCATTAAACAATTATCAAAAAACGAATATCCATATCCATATCTTTGGTCGAGTTTAATGATTATTATGAGTATTACAATTGAAAGTAATTTCTACATCTTGGATGAAAGCACCTCTAAAAAAACTAGCCTTACATGCTAGCAAAACGTCAGAAAGAAATTTCATAATACAAATGCCAATAACATGACAAAAGGTACTTGGATATTCTATTAAATCTTATATGAATTTGTTTTTTTGTTTGGCTGAGTAGATTATCACTGAATATGTTACATCATTCACTCATTAATAATTACAAGTAAGCCAAGAAATCAACCTAATTTTAATGGAAACAGTAAAATACTGATTTTTTCAACCATCTCATTCAATTAAAACTGATATTATCAACTAATGTACTTTTATCTCGAACTCAACTTACAGTACAAAAACTAGATATCCAAAAGAAACTCAAACCTAGTATAATAAATATTCTCCCCAGCAGATTGTCTCTTTCGGTACAGTCATTTGTGTGTTCAAAGAGAGAAAGCACGATTTCTAATGCATTTTCAACTAATTCTTCATTGGCATTCCCATAGGTGGCCTAACTGGACCCATGGGGCCCATAGGTCCCATTGGTCCCATAGGCATACCCATCATTGGAGGTCTCATTCCCATCATATGTGGTAAAGGTCCATGTGGTCCCATCATTATTGGTGGCATTGGACCTCCAGGTCCCATAGCTATAAAAAACATAAAACAGGATTTTTCAATTGAAATGAATGATAGTAATTCAAGAGCAAAAAAAACATCGATACAAGTTAAAAAAACAACAAATCTAGCAGTGTTTGCTCCTGTAATACCATTATTATCCAATTTTTAAGACAGCAGTATGTATTTGACCATCAAATATTATCATAACTAATGAAAACTTATATAGTGCACTGCCTAGTGTACCCAACAGCTTAAGATTTCTTTAGTCTTAGGCATAAAAATTATCCCATAAGATTGTAAAAGCATTATCAATTCCAGTTTGTACCGGTGTTTCACCAACTGAATTAGGTGTGAAGTGAAGACAATCTGACTATGCTAGTCTAAATACAAGTCGTGAAAATATGTTCCTCTGATAACTTAATCAATCAAATAACCACAACTATCACTAAGATATTAGAATGAAATTCGTAGAGAAAAATGATGAAACGGAATGAAATGGAATGTAATGGTAAACCAGTTAGAGAACCAAGATATGTCAATGAAATGTCTTGAACAGTACCGAAAGAAGAGTCAGTATTACAATTTAGGGACCTGCATTAGAATCAAATGACAATTGAGAAAAGACGCTTCATACATTCACAGTGAAGTTTATACTTAATATCAAACAGAAAAACATCCGAACAGTTCACCGAATAAATTATTGATTTGATAATAAACTGAAACATATTTAAGTTCTACTAAATAGTATAAAGACTACGTCTTTCACCAAAATAATAAAAATCTGAAGCTAACAGATATTATGATATGATGGAATTTTTGACCAACCATGGAACCGTTTGTACTAAATCCAATAATTAAAACTATTTTTACAATAACTTCTGTAATCTTGAAGATTTTCATAATGTATACCGAGTTATAATAATGAATATTTTATTTGCATGAGAAGTCATATTGTCAATTTATAATATAATGGTTACTTAAGTTGTACGTTAAATTATTATATATGCAGTCAACTTTTTCTTTCCATTTATAGAGAATGAATTCATGAAAAGGTTTTAGGTTGAAGTAAAAAAAAAAACTTAATAACACTTGTGCTGTGGCTGTGTAACGCCCCTCATTTCTTGACATAATTATTTTGTTAATCACACATTGCTAAATTATTGTTGCTAGAAATATTAGTCAAAAAATGTCAAATATATCACAGTAGTGCGCTTTATTCTGAAGAGCCAGTTTGACAAATTTACTGGATGTTTTAAACGAGATAATTTTTCTCAATATTTTTGTTGAGAATGATTTAGGGGCATGAAGAAATAAATTTCAATTGATTTATGCTGCATATTATAGTTTGGAGATCCCTGAAATGCTTCCATTGTATTTTTTATAAATCAGGTACATAAATTCCAGAATACAAATAAACGATGAAAAGAAAAGTTGTTGGCTGCAGAATCCCCAAAATGCTTTACCACATCTCAAGTGAGATTCAAACAAAACATTTTTGCTGTGGTTGAATTTAGTTCATTTGTGACAAAACTGATTGCAGTGTTTTGTTTAATGTTATTGAATGCTGATCAAATTTTAATCTGTCGTCTATATGAAATGTGTTTTGTTTCCTTCACTATCGCCATTCAAATTCACACAATCGCAGTGAAATTTAAAGGTGATAAGTTAGTTAATGTTACTGAAGCATAAATAATTTGAATCACACCATTTGATTAATCTGTTGCACGTTCCTAGCGACAGTTTCTAGCATATTTGAGATATTTTTGTCCTGCCAAAGAAGAATGGTACCATCCGCAAAAGTTATGAAACTTTCTTGTACTGAAATGGCAGCAAGGTATTTCAGATATACAAGAAAAAGGATACATCACAGTACATAAACTTGTACATAAAAAACAGATCATTATTTCAAAATGATGGAAGAGAAAAATGGTCTAATGCCAATTAATTGTTATTACTAGTCATCTTCAAATTTGAATTAACTTTGAATTTAAATCGTGTGAAATATGTTGAACCGAGTTCTCTTTCAACTTCTTTATAAAAAATTCCATAAAATGAAAATAAAAAATTGAAAAAAACCAATAAAAATCCTTTGGAAAAATGTGTATCTGAAAGAAACATATGTATGTTTCTTTTAGATATAAACCTGTCACCGAATATTCTGGCAATATCTTGAATTTATTGAAGCCTCTGGAGACACCCTACATTTTATTCTATGAAAGAGAGGACATTGGGAGATCAAGATCTTCAAATGATGTGGTGCTGCAGGTTTTTTCCTGGTTTTCCTGCAGCTTAAAAAAAAGGGTCACTGGAATCAATCAAGTCACCCCGGAGCGCCAATTAATTTTTTTTGTTTCATAATTTTATAATTTGTATAACCTTTCTTTAAATGTTATAATTAAATATTCCTTCTAACCTGAAAAATACCATCTTATCTGAAATAACTACTTTTGATTGATGAACCATGTATTCTACAGAAATCTTTCTCACAGGGAAAAAAGAGTGTTTCCAATAAATTATTTTCTCCCAAAGATAGACTTCTTTTATATACTTATTGCACTATTTATGTAAACTGATTTAGAGGTACACCCACTTGAAAATCAAAAAAGTGACTATTTTGTGAACTCACTTTTCACGAACCTTCATTTTGCTTACAACTTTAATTTGTTTCATTACAAAATATTTCGTTTCCTTAAGATTATCTCCTTTCCAGCAAATTACATCATAAATGTTTTCAAAACTAAATGACACTTCCACGAGGAAATTGTTTTCACTGGCAGTGATTCAAAATTTAAATAAAAGGAAAAGGAATTGACTTTCTGTTTGTGACACTTTGCATTTGCTTTCCATGATTGGTTACATATTTGTAGTTTGTGTAGTGTTTCAATTACAGAAAGCTGAATTGACAAGTTGTATGTAATTGCAGGAAGAAACAAACACATACGCTCATCTAGAGCAAAGTTGAGAAAAATTTTCGAATATGGACATTTATTTTCATATCTTTATTTTAACTTTTCGTGAAATTGCCAACAAATATGGAAAGTTTCCTTTGGAAACGTTTGATGAAGCTATTGTAGAGTGAAACACGCGTTGCGGTTTTGTAAACTGTCTAGTGGAAATCTCACAATAAAGTGTTACTTGAATAACAAAATATCAAGTGAAGGGACAATATTATTAAGGGCATGATTCCAAAAAGAGTTATTTTGGTGAAACATAAATTAATTTTGTATTCCGTGAAAATATTTAAAATGTGTGTGCAGATCCTTTGTTTACAACCGTGAGAAGGTTCGTTTTAGTAGTTTTTATAACAAAAAGTGACTTTTTGAGAGGAAAATACATCTAGTAGTTCAGTTGAAATAAAAAAAATTTCAAAAAACGGTCTCATTGATACCTAAACTTTATGAGAAGAACAGAATGCACCCTCTATTTTCATTAATTATGGACTTAAGAAGGTTCTAACCTCCGGGTGGCATCATTCCTGGCCCTCCAGGTCTCTGACCCATTGTAAGCTGTGCTGGTGGTGGGATAGCAACTCCACCCTTTCCTGGTTGGGCAAAAGGGTTATTTGTTATTTTACCAGCTTTGAAAGCAGCCGTAGTAGCATCAATCAAATGCTGAGCTTGTTCTTCCATCCATTTTTGATAGAAAAATTTAACATTATCCTTGTGTTTCCTACCCGTACAATGCGTTTTTCTAACGCTAGGAGAGTCATGAGTCAAGTATGTATCACAATAGTCACAGTAATATTTCGGCATTTTGGCAGTTCTAGTTAACAGATCACAAACAAACTTCTGTTTATATTTTTTACTAACGCAAATTTGATCACTATAACCTAAATAATCACTGATATGCTCTTTTCGTCTTCTTCTTTTTGAATATGTTGCTTTTGAAAGCGTTAGACGAGTTTTTAAATATACTTATGATTCAAGGGATTCAGAATGTTGGCGCTTTTCCGTTGGTTGAAACAATACATCAGAAGTATTCTGTTTGGTCATAATTAACAAGAAACAGATAATAAAAATATGTTGCCCTCGTGAGCATCCGTACAAATCAAATAAGATGAATGCAAATACCTGAATACTGAATATCGATTCATCTCTTCTGAGTATATCGCCAACACCCATAGCTCACAAACTCCCTTGATTTCTGGTTTTCGAATGAGTATTCAATTATCTACAGTTTACGAAAACCAATTTGCGATTATTGGATTCTGCCTAACTGTATTTATAAGTGAAGGAGACTTCCTTTTGGTGGAACCGTGTACATTACAACCGAATACTGAAAAACTTCGGCAGCTATACGGTGCTTATTCGCAAGATTTTCATGAACCTTACAGAAAAGACGAATCACATCATTTTTGTCGATTCACCATTTTCATAATTACAGAAATCAAGACAGACATGACACGAGAAATAAAAACATACGAATACTTTACATATGTTCTCGATTCTGTCTCGTGAATTTCGAAGAATCGAATACATCACATTCTCAGTACTCGAATGGACCCATCTCTTACTATCACGAACTGCTAGTTTTTCATTAATTAATCTATTTACACGTCATTTTGTGTTTTGAAAATGTTTGTTAATTATTTTATTGTGACAGCTGTTCAAATGGGAAAAATGACCACACTAATCTTTTTTTTTTTAATTTCTGACTTCTACCTCATACTAATGTTTGAAACTCGAAATAATGTGAATTGTGAATGAAATTATATTATGTTTTGGATGGTTTCCAATAAGGTTAGCCGTGGTCTACTTTGGTTATGATCTCCAAAAGTTTCGACTGCAACTGCGGCAGGCATCTTCAGTGAAGAGTAGTTCAACCACACCACTGAAGATGACTGCCGCCGTTGCAGTCGAAACTTTTGGAGAGTCTAACGAAAGAAGAACACGGCAAAACCCGGAAACCATCCGAAACATTGACGCCAGCCGTGAAAGCCAACATTCCGGAATAAGATTAGGTTGGAATGTTGATTTATAATGAGGAACTCGTTTTAAAACTTAGTCCAAAGTCGGAATTTTCAAATTATATTACAGAAAGTGAGGTTAAGATTTTTTTCCGGACCACAGATCACGAGCACATAGTAGTAAACACGGGAGCCAAGTTATAACTGTCGCGAGACACTCTTCTAAAAACAAACCAAAGAAGACTGTGACATGATGTATTAGAAGAAGACACTTTCAGAGAGGAATAGTTGGACCCTAGAGTAACAAAAGACAATAGAAAGGCCTTTTCCATCCTTACATTGAAGGCAGCATAACTTTGTTTGTTTACGGGAAGTAAGTTGGACCATAAAACAGTGACGGTTGGTTTAGTTGGTAACCGGAGGGAAATTATATATTTATAAAATAAAATCATTTCAGG